AAGTTGTAGAAAAAAGAATAAATGTTATTAGGACTTGTATTTCTTTTGTATGTTTATTAAGTTAATGAACTGAGTACATTTTCTAAAAATAAACTTACTATCTCACTGGATCGACTTTCCTGGTACATTAAAATCACTATTCACTCCGGACTTGAGAGTGTTAATAGAAATCGTACCATTATCTGATGGTGTACTGGAAGCATATATAGGTGCGCTAGGCTGAGTGGTTAGACGTTGAAGCATGAGATGTTCTTGAGAATTTTCTTGATATATGCCATCCTGAGTAGATGATGGATTAGCTCTCTGATAATGTTTAGATAAATATTGCGCTAACTCAGGATCCATTTCACTTGTATCGAGAACTGGGAGAAGGTGAGCGACTGTTGGCGATGCTGATGATGGTGAAGGTTTATTGTCATTGATAGTAGACTTTATTTGATTCTTTATTACAAATGATATAGAAAAATTTAATATTGACAAAATAGAATTTTCGTTCTTAATATACATAATTCAGTGTGGCGATTTAAACAGATCCCAACATACCACATGTTTCATTGGATGAGATTGGAAAAAAATTTGTCGAAGTTGATTGGATACCTTCACATGAGATGCAATTAATGATATATTTGAAGTGATAGAAGCTCTATCGTTTCAAATCAGAGGATTCACACATTGACGAACTTGTTTCTAACACTCATATTACATGCTCATGAACAGTATTTTTGCAAGAACTAATCTCCAAGAGCAACTGTTCTAGCTGGTTAAGTTGTTGACAGTTGCACATTAAATCATAAACCTGATACTATATGTGTTTAACAAATAAAATCCGTACAATAAGTTAATTTTCACCAAATATTTGAATCGCATCGTTACACCAGGCCAATGGTTTTAAAATATACAAATTATATTATCAGAATGGAAATATTTCAGGCTAATGACACGAATTATATAACTTTCATTTCATATTCGCTCGATGAAAGCCCAGAGTCATAACAGAGATTATTATTAATGTGGTCATCAACATTACTTACGACTTGAAACCAGGTCTATAGATTCCATCACTACTGAGCTTTCAAAAACTTCAAAATTCCAATAATTATCAGGCGAAATAATCAAACGGAACAAACAAATAAAAATTTGCTTGTTAAAAATAAGTTAATTTGACGTAAAACAAATGATTACGTCGTAGTCAAAGAATAAATACTGTAGGACTCATTGAACCAAGGTTAGGATTGTAAAAACAATTTAATGAAGTGAACCGTTTTAACTACCACACATAATCGCGGAGAGAAATGAAATGTCTATAACAGTTTTTATTTCATCCGGATTACTCATTAAATACCAAATATAGTGAGGAAGGAAATAAAGCAAAACATAATATACGGACTTACATTCCTCTGATTCGACTCTGCTTCGCTAGCACTTAAGGCTAAAGCCAATTCCAGATCCTCGTTTTCTTGCTGTTCCAGTTGTCGCTCTTTCTCACGTCGAAGCTGGGAGTTGGGACAAAGTTACATTCTATAAATCACTGAGTAATGAATACAGCTTGTTTCGAAGTAAAGTAGTTTAGAAAAAATGGCAACAAATAGTAACTGGTACAAACCTGAGGACAAACAAAAATTAGATGCTCGTATAAGAGTAACAGCCTATATTCAATCCAATGTTGTATAGACAATTAAAATGATCGAAATGGGATATAAGAGTACACGGATAAACGAGTTATAATATTTAAAAGAAAATGAATGTGAACTTTTTGCAGTAATCGGTTTCTATTTTAACTAATATTCTTAAGGTCTGAAACTCAAGATATGCGATTATTAGTTCCGAAAGAGAAGCGGAGTGTTTTTTGAGGTTTGATATCAATTATAATTATTTCATTGGTTTTACCAGTACTAAATTTACCAGATAAGTATAGGTCACTATTCTCACAAATTCCGATTTTTTCCAGACACAATTAACTCCAATTAGTTTTTATTTTATCATATGGCTAAACAGTAAAACATAGAAGATAACAAGAACTACTTGATCTGTTTCATAGTATATAATCAACTTCTTTAATAACATACACTTAGTCTGTCTTCATACTGCACTACTTGGCAACAGTACTGTTAAATAGTCCCTTATGTCTTGGTCTTCTTAATAAGTCGGGACAAATATCGATTTTTTTATGGTTGATAATTCTATCGCACTTGCATTTAGTTTTACAGTAACTTGAAAGGAGTAAATTTGAGATTCGATTTAATCCGCTAGTTGTATTTTTTTACTAACCAATCAAGACGAGTTCTTATGGACCGTTTGAACAACATACATGTTAGAGTACTAAGGTATGGATTACAATTCTTGTGTAAAAACTACTGAAACTTTAAAATTCCAAACTTTTGTAAGTGGGAATTTTTAATCTATTTTATTTTATTTTATTTGAACACATAAATATTGGTACAATAGAGCGCCAATATATATGCGCCACACAAAACAATGGGAATTCGAAGAGAAGTAGAAAGAAGAAAAAAAAAACTAGGAACGCAAAAGAAAAAGAGAACAATGACGAAGAGATTGGAGTAAGGTAGTGTGGTAGTAACGACGGAACGAAAAGGTACAATCAGAAGAAATCTTTCAGGTAAAGGAGACACAACCACTTTTTATGAAGAAAGTAAAAGAAGGTTACAGCAAGATCGCCACTGGCTTCTATTCTGAGCCATATCTGATAACGTCTCTGGCCACTGTGTAGCACCATCTCTCGGACCCCAGCCAGGGAGTCGTGAAGGACCAACACAAGCCAGTCCTTTGCAGCTTTCTTTCATGCCACGACACCATGTCATGCACTGACCACCTCTCCGCTTCTTCCAACCAGTCCCAGAGTCGGCAAATAATGCACGACGTGGAATATTCTGGGACGACATTCGGAGAACATGTCCAAGCCACCGAAGTCGGTGTTTCAAGATGGTGACACCAATTGAGTTATCATCTCTGTGCCCGAACACACGATGCCGAAGCTCTGCATTACTGACATGGTGTTGCCACTGAATGTCAGCAATCCTTCGGAGACAGCGATGATCGAACACAGAGAGTCGTCTAACGTCCTCAACTCGGAGAGGCCAGGTTTCACAAGCATAGAGCAAAACTGCTCTCACCGACGCGTTGTAGATCCGGCCTTTTACAGCCAGACTAACATCACGAAGGCGCCAAAGGTGGCCCAGATTGGCATAAGCCGCTCTGGCTTTCACTATTCGTGCATTGATCTCATCACTCACACCCCCACCAGCACTTATGCAGCTACCCAGATACACGAACTTCTCGACTACTACCACAAATTGATGAACTCTTTATGCCTATGGAATTTTTAATCTGGGACATATCGGCCAGAAGGTAAACGGATAGATAGAATGCAAACAATCCACCTTAAATAAATCGGACAGAGATATTCAAATCTAACAAGATTCACTATTCCAGTGACTTTCTTTTGATATATTGTATATGATATCACAATACTATTTCTGACAATCACCTGGTTACCGTTTTTATTTTACTACTAATGAGGTTAAAATAAGGAATCTGTACACCTCCGCCCTCGGATTAACTATGTGAGAACATTTAACAGGAATCTCGAGCCAACGTGTGGTTGACATCTAAGTCAATGATCTTCCTAATTGGTATGATTGTGGTGTAATTTACCACCCGTAATGGTTTAGTCTAAGAGATAATAACTAAGTTTTTAAAAATGTCATTTATCCATCTGATTCTAACTGCATACATATAACTATTTGTGTGGAATCTTAGAAAAGATATCACTGGTGTCTTTTTGCTACTACGTTTAGTAAAGTTACTGATTATTATCATGTAGAATATTATTTATTACAACGAGCATGATGGCATCTCCACAGGACTTATGTTCAATCTGATCTGAACTCCATCAACAAGTGGATGTGTCGGAGAAGACAAAAAAAATACAGTTAACTCAAGTTCGTACAGAACCAAAACAACTATTAGCGTGATTCAGTAGAGGAATTCGTATTTGGTAGCTCTGGAATAAGGTCAATCCTTAGAAAAGACAAGTCATCAAAACAACGGTTACATGAGGTTAAATTATTACATACACCAATATCTTATATTAATGTCCTGAAAACAGTGTGGAACCCTTGCCTAGAATTTCAGTTATGACTATCAGTGTATGTTGTATTACCTGTTGAAGTGAATAACATTTAGTTGAAAGCTTAATTTACTGAAACCAAGGATATTATTCGTGAGTTGAAATTATGAAAGTATACAGGCGAAAATATCTTCAAAGGAGAAGTAATGGGGAAAAAAAGTCGATTATAATTAGAAGGAATCATGGCACTGATGACAAAAAGGTAACCAATCCTTTTCAATAGAAAACTTTGCACAACATGAAATCCGAAAATACCTCAAGAAATGTGTTACTAGGTACCAATACTAAAGATTTTGTTGATAGTTTCAAATAGATTGAGTATTGGGCAGAAAGTTAAAAATGATTAAATAATTATACTTTCGTGATATTCTAATAAAGATAAATTTGAATTTCTGGCGTTTCATGTCAGTCAGTCAGTAACAACGTAGAACTTCGTACGTACGTACGTCAGTTCGAGTTGCGTTTCATGACTTAATGCAAGTCACTTCTTCAAAGTAAATAAATAACCGAATTAATTTAACACAATTTTAAGCAGTATATAAGAACAAAGCAGTCACCTACAACTTCTGTAAGTGTTACAAGTCGAAAGGATTTGTCTGAACCTAATTGCCAGAAACTAAAAACTATGAATCAGGAGTGAAAATGAACTATAAATCCTGATGTTTATAAGCTTATCTCATTAGGTGAAAGTAGCATTTTCAAGAAAACTGGTTAGCTGAAAGAAATACGTTGCTATCATCACATCTTATTATAACTGACTATTAAAATTATTGATGATTATTATGACCCCAATACTTTCCGTATATAGGAAGGTACAAAAGACCGACATATTTCCAAGATAGATTGTTATTATGATGTTTAAATCATAACACAAATATAGTAAGCATTTCAATTAAAAAATCAAGCCACAGAAAATCTCTGGAAATAATCAATGACGAAAATAGATTTTAATTGATGAAAGTATCTACCTAAAGGTAATAGAAAAGATAGAGTGATTGTAAAGGTAAAGAAAGTATTAAAAAGAAGAATATATTTGTAAAATCTCAGCGAATGAATGAATGAAATTTTACAAATATATTCTTCTTTTTAATGTCTCAAATTAACTCGGCGCCCAAATATTGTGAAACTATTCGTTCAAATTTAGACGAAAGTTCTTATTTGTAAAGAAAGTATGTTTCGCTGTATCTTTTTCTTACACTTCAATCGTTGCCTATATTATTATGTGAGACTTTTAAGACAGGGTTAGTTGAATGGGACGCTTCATGTTTATTTAAACAGTATCATGTACTATTTCTGAGTGACAAAAAGAAAAAAATACCATTACGCCAACATATGTAAAGACTTTGAAATGCTGTTTGATAATCAACTGATCTGTCAACAAACAAACATTTGTAGACATAAATATGGGAATCCAAACCACAAAAGTAGGGATCAGTTGTTATTTAAATAAAGTTTGTAGAAGGATCTCTTCATTATTAAGTGACGCTCAGGACCCGACTTCAATTTACAGTCTATCCTACTTGACAAAAAACAAGTCGTAGAAAATGTAGTGCTAATGACTGTGTAGGTGCAAAAACCGGATTAGCTAGGACTGAACTTGGAATACCAACACTTGAGATTCAAGTGCAAAAAAATATTTAAAAACACGCAATCGCTAATCTTAAATGAAAAAAGATTACCTGATTCTCCCTCTCCACAGACCTTTTATCTTCAGAGTTATTTGAAGCAGAAGACAATCCTCTTACAAAACAGAAACAACAACGAAAATATTGTTAAAATACATTGCAAAAATATAAATGCCAACATATGCTACTAGCAATACTACCGACAGTAATAGTAATAATAATAACTTGTTAGTCAGTCATCTAGAACGTAGGACCAGGCACATATATGCATCACTCCCACTTACCACACCTAATTAGCACAACAAGATGAACACTGAATTCATAGAAGTAGTCACTTCAATGGTAGTAATGTATAAAAGAAAGATTGCGTATAAGGATATAATACAGGGAGAAAGAATTAGTTGGTAGAAAGAAAGGTATAAAGCAATTTCGAACGCACGGTTTAAGGAAAGACAAAGAGTGCATACACCTATGCCATTGTGATCGATTCTGAGCCATGTCACCCACAGTCTCTAACCATTGGTTACGATAGTCATGCGGATCTCAACCAAGTAGTCTGCATCTACCAACACGACTTAGACAAGAATTTAGTGACTTTATGGACTGATACCACTGTTAGGATAGTCGGAAAAATATACCAATAAGTATCGCGTTAAGTCTATGGTGGCCTTGGACCTTAAATGTACATTTCCTATTGGTCGATGTTTATTTCACTTGTTTAATATTGTGTAAATGGTGTTTTCTATTTTATGGTACGATGTGGTTTGTTTGTTTGGTATATAAATAGAGTATGTCTGAAATACAATGATTCATAACTCAGAGGCTGTGACTTGCGTTCTAGACTCAACTGGCTGGGTTAGACAGGGAAGCAGGGCCAATCAGAACCCTAGGTCGTCCTTACGTGTTTATGTGTCACTGAAGCGATCAATAAAACGCTGCTTATCAAAACCTGCAGTCCACCCGTTACAACAACCACATTTTGGTTTGGCTGCCCCTAACTTCCATCCGTCGCCAACACTAGTCAGCATTATGCGTCGTGGTAATCGGTTGTTGGGTATGCGCAATACTTGATTCAACCATCTCAGTTGATGAAGATTCACAACCTCATCAACTGACTTACCATCATTCCCTAACACCTTGCGTCTAACCTCACTATCACTTACCCGATGATCCCAGCAGACGCGAACAATATTTCTAAGACATCTGTGATCAAATACTAGTAACTTACGAGTATCTTTTACTCTTAATGGCCACGTTTCGCAGCCATAAAGTAGAACAGAACGAACTGCCGCGCAGTATACTCGTATCTTGATTGATAGATGGATATCTTCCTTTCGTCATAGGTGACGTAAGTTGGCAAAAGGTACACCAGCATTTTGGATTTGTGCAGAGATTTCGTCAAACATCAATCCATTAGGTCTGATCGGACTCTAAGATAATATATGTGAAACTGTCGACGCGTTCGACTACTACACTCCCTCTCCTTGGTTCAGGTGGTGACGCAGGCCAGTCCTGAAGCAACAATTCCTACTTAGAGGGAGAGAAACGCATCCCAAACATCCTGGTATTTTGCTTATTTCTACCAGAAGACTGCATTTTATCAGCGTCTTCACAAAACAGGATCATGTCATCGGCGTATTCTTAGGCAATAAGTGTACCTTCTGGTAGGAGATCAACTTCTGATAATTCATTGGAAGAGAACGTTATTTCCAGCAGTAGGTTTATGATGAAACTAAACAGAAATGGAGATAGTGGACAACCTTGTCGGACACCAATTGTGGTTGTAAATTCGGTCCTACGTTGTAGCTGACTGACTTCTACCGCTGAATGGTTTTGTTACTTATAAACGCAACTTTCGTCAATGTTGCAGAGATGTGTTTTAGAGACGGATGACCCTTTGGAAAACAGTATATACAACGTTTATTATTCCTACAGGTCGATATAAGCAGAAAAAGCAAGGAAGATTATTGCAAAGTATATCGTAGTAAGGAAAATGAAACTTAATTCACCATTCGCTTCAGCAGTTTTGGCAAATATTACTGCAACTCAAGTGAATATATAAATATACAGGAACGCGTTACTGTCAACGATCATTAATCGATATAATAAATAAAATCATAATGTCTACAGAATGACATGTTTATGGGCAATTACCTGTTAACTGATTCAAAGCACAAATCACAAACACGCACTTCCTTCTCAATGCCAAATTCAGGAAGAATGGCGCGCGATGAGGTACACTCACCACAAAACACTTGACCACACTTACGACAGTGATGCTGGAGAAAATTAAGGTAACGATATGTTTGAAAAAGATTACTAAGATGAAAACATAACATGAAAAAGTACACAAGGGGACATATTAACTAAAATTACCATGAGGGATCTACAAGGAAAATGGATTTGTCAGATTTGAGAATATCCAGCTTCCCGAATGGAAGTAGATTGATCGGCGTTCAAACTCGAAACCTAGTAGATGGATGTATAACAACTTAACAATTAAGCTACCGGTAAGGTATCGAGTTTATTAAATCAACTACTGTAAAATGACTCTAAACTGACAATTTTCTGAGCCAAAAGCAAATATAAGTGAAGGATTCGATATATAAGGCAATAACTACCATTTAAAATCGTAGATCTGAAACTTATGAACCAATCTGTAGTAAGTATGTAATTTTTTCGGCACGAATATCACAATGAATTATGCTTTTATTGACACCCAGTTATCTAGACATTTTAGAATCAAGTTCAAGTGATCAACATAATGTGTAATTCAGATTCTTACGCTTTAATGTATGTGTTTGTATTGTTATTGATATTTAGATATTACAAAAAAACTTGACTAAATGAGTAAAACAAACATAAAGTGAAGCGATGAAAGTTTTTAGTCTTATCAGCCAATTTTTTATCGTAATCTAGTACATTACGCCAAACCTCAGGATTACACAAGGTATGCTTCCCGGAGAATTATGGTTAAACAATAGAGGCTAGTAGACTTTCATCACTTACATAGACCATAATACAAAGGTGAATGCTGAACAGTATCCCCAGAGCCTGGATGGGAGCTTTATGTTTTCGTGTCGAGATATCGTTAGCCATCAACCTAATATGGCTAATGACACTTCCAAGATAAGCGAGGTAGTGGATATGATCTAATTCACTATCTATGTTTAAACTGGGCAATGATACAGACAAGTTGTGGGGCTACAACTAACATTTCGTGGGAGAGGAACTTATCCCATGATAGCTCTGTCTGCAGCCCTTCAGGATTACTGCTCATACCAAAGCCGAATAAAGAACGAGGGTTAAGAATGAAGTAAGCAACCTCATCCCGTAGAAAACAACCTTGCTGAAAAAACGACTATCATAAAAAAGATTTAAAACATTTAAACTTCCTCCCCAGGTTTTGAAGGGTATTTATTTAGAAAGGTTATAACACCTCATGTTGAAAGTCCAGATTCTCCGGAAATCGGAGAACCAGAGTAACAATTAATATAGATACATGCAATATTCGGACAGTGTGAGGACCACTCAAAAACCTGTGGAAATAAGAGAATACAAACTGGCAGTGCTTAGAATTAGTGATACCCATTGGACTCAAAGTAAACAAAAAAAGTCAGCTTCGAGAAAGCTTGTGTTGTGTTCTAGTTATGCAGAAGAAATAGCCTCATGCAAACAAGATGTTGCACTGATACTCTACGAGGAAGCGCGGAAAGCGCTTATAGGATGAGGAACTCAAGGATATAGGACTATGTCGTTTGCGTGTTTCAAGTTGATGAATGAATCATCAAGTAGGAGACTTATATTTGGGAAGTCAAACGAAGAAAGAGTTATCCCTAAAAGGTGTGGCAACTCGAACTGATGTACGTACATACGAAGTTCTACGTTGTTACTGACTGACTGATCCTTATGATAAAGGCACACAAAAATGATGAGTGGTTTTCCTTGACTAATACCGCTTGATATAACCAGTTTAGAAAAGAGTTGACTATAGGCGGTGACTCGACCACAGCGGCAAAGCAGCAAGACCAGACAACATTCCAGTAGAGGCACTGGAAGCAAATGTAGCAGTAACTGCAAACATGCTCCACATTCTCTTCAGCAAGATTTGGGATGAAGAACAAGTACCAGCAGCCTGGAAAGAAGGACACCTGATCAAGATACCAAAGAAAGGCGATCTTACTAAGTGTGAGAACTACAGAGGCATCACTCTTCTCTCAATACCAGGAATAGTCTTCAACAGGGCATTGTTAAACAGAATGAAGCACTCCTTAGACGCCCAGCTTCGAGACCGACAGGCTGGATCCCGTAAGAATCGATCGTGTACCGACCAAATCGCAACACCACGGATCATTATGGAACAATCAATTGAATGGAATTCATCACTCTACATCAATTCCATTGACTAGAAGAAAGCATTTGATAGCGTAGGCATGACAACACTATGGAAGCTTCTTCGACACTACGGCGTGCCTCAGAAGATTGTCAATATCATACGGAATTCCTATGATGGGTTAAACTGTGTCAGGCAAAGTTGATTACTCTCACCCTGGATTATGAAGACGTCAACATCTGGGAGGAAGCACGGGATACAGTGTACAGCTGAGATGCGGCTAGACGATCTAGACTTCGCAGATGATCTGGCTCTTCTATCGCACACGCAACAAGTGCAGGAGATGACCAGTGTAGCAGCAGCCTCAGCAGCAGTAGGTCCCCACATATACAAAGGGGAAAGCAAGATTCTTCGATAAAACACAACATGGACCCATCGAATCACAATTGACGGAGAAACTTTGAAGGATGCAGATGTGAAGGAGCGGATCGGCAAAGCAAGAGTAGCATACTTACAACTGAAGAATATCTAGAACTCAAAACAATTGTCAACCAACACCAAGGTCAGAATTTTCAATACAAATTTCAAGACTGTTCTACTGGAGAACCTGGAGAACTACAGAAGCCATCAACCAGAAGATACAAGTGTTTATTAACAGTTGTCTACGAAAAATACTTCGGATCCGTTGGCCAGACACTATCAGCAAAAACTTACTGAGGAAGGGAACAAACCAGATTCCAGCGGGAAAAGTAATCAGGAAGAAGCGCTGGAAGTGAATAGGACGCATTGATGAAAGCAGCCAACCGCGTCATAAGGCAAGCTCTCGCCTGGGATCCTCAAGGCCAAAGGATAAGAGGAAGACCGAGAAACGGAGACAGACATAAGAAGAATGAACAAAAATTGGGCAGAAATAGAAAGGCCCAGGACAGAATGGGTTGGAGAATGTTGGTCGGCGACCTATGCTTAATGGTTGTAACAGGCGTAAGTAAGTAAGGATGTATAGTACATCTACAATATTCGTGTTACGACTGCGTCCCCCAAATTCGCTCATCTCTAACTTGATTCTGGCATAATGAAATAAGCTTTCCACGTTAAGTTCACTGTAACGATTACAGTAGGATTTTCTAATTTCTAGCATTAAAAAAATTTCGAAGAAACTGCTACTGGTTTGTACGACAGACTGCATGATACAATCGATCTGATTGGAAATGTTTGATAAATAATGATGGTCCTTGAAGGCTGTCAAATCAAATTTTATTTGATAATATATTACCGACCTATGGTGCTATTTGAAATAATTAGTCCAAGTTATTCTAGTTACCATACTAAAACAGACGATAGCTAGCACTAATGAACAGTAAGCTTTGGACTGTTCGTTGGTTTTTGTCGTCCCTTACTACTCCTCACCTGTGGAGTTTAGCCGTATTTGGTGTGAGGCAGTTATCTGCTGAAAATAATAGGTGGTCGCGCACTGTTATGTAACATTTTAGTTTATTGGCATCCACAAGCACAATGTATGAAACCTCTCACTTGGTTATGAAAATATGTCTTGGACAATATTGGATTTTACGTCAAGCATATGCATAGTTACGGATATTTCGAACCCAAAGGTTTATATAGGAAACTGAGTCAGCATACAAACGCTCCTCACAAGTGCACAAAGTTGACTTAAAAACCGAAAAATATGCCATTTAATTGAAAAGCATGTTTCAATCAAGTGACTTGATAATCGAAATAGTCGATAAAGATATGTAGATATCTTTTTTTGCCTTGCAGTTAGCGCCGCGGAAAGTACCTGTTTGAGTCAGTTATCGAACTTCAATAAGTTCCCCTACACCGACCAATAATGACGTATAACTCAATAAAAACAGCCATTTTACCGATAAGATATAAGAATACTACATAAGATGTAGTTTACTGGTAAACAAGCTATATTTATATGCACTTCCAGTTACGCATGATAAAAAACTTTTATACCAACCAATCAGATCAAGTTAATGGAGACTGCAGTATTACTGTGACAACACACTGATATAAAACTTTAAGCTTTTAGCAAAAATAGAATAAACCCTTACTTTACGCCTGAACGTAGTAAATGCGGACTTGCATCGATGGCATGCATTTCCTTCCTTCCAACTTGGAGCACAAACTACACTGAACATAGCAGCACTCTCTGAGAACTCCGGAAAAACGTAGCCAGCGTTTTTAAGGTTCTCATAAGCATCTATCACAGCAACGTAGCCAGGCTTATCACGAAAAACATACGCCCAATTTTGAAGACACTCTAGAAGCTTTGCACGAACGTCTGGGGATGTCTAAAACGCGTCAAAGTCTATCAAATAACATACATCAACCATCCCAACAAGCTGCTGCATAAAGTCAGTGCTGCAAACTTCTTCATGAACAGGTGTACCACAGTTCTTCATTAATGACTCCAGCACCTACAGTGTAAGTTTATGAGAAAGAGATTACATCAAATGAGTGTAGAACGACGTTTGGGTTGTCACACTGAAAACGTTTCTTTAAACACTGGACCGCATATTTAGGCCTTCATTAGTTTGTAATTACGTGAAGTATTAACCTACGAAATCTCTTGACTACGCACGTTATCGCAAACTGCAATGGTACTCTCAATGTCTGATTCAATCAGCATTTCACTGGTCGCCTTCTCTATAAATTCAAGAATCTTCATTTTATTAACAGTATCACTTACCAATCAGCTTGTCAAACTTGGAACGTTTGAAGAAATCCATACTTCGCTATTTCCGGAAGTTACTGAGCAACGCCAAATTCGAATTTGGCAATATTAGTACCTGAAATCTTCAAATAGTTCAAATGATTGTGGACGGAATAGAAGAACCTTCCACTTAACGAGCCTCCGTGTATAGTAGCTGTGGAACATCAATATCTCCAGGCAGGAACCTAGGTATGTTACCTATAATAAAGGAAAAAAGTAATTGGCTTCGCGCGCGTTTCAAAAGAGCAGTGAATTTGTACTTGTTGTGATTATCCTTGCTTTTGTGTAGTTGTCGCATCAAAAGCATTCTTGGTCTATATCAAAGTACTTTAGTTAAGGTTTAAAATCTTGCTTAAGTTTGTCTTGTGGTACCCTTTTACTCACTGACTGACACGTTCATACTGTGATCGTATCGTGTTTTAAACCTAAATCTGATTACAATGGTTGGTGGTACTTATAAATGTGAACAATCAAACTGTTTGTTCTCCGTGGAGGAAGGAATGCAGTGTGATGAGTGCAAAGAGTGATTCCATAAGATGTGTACTCGTTTAAGTCCCACCGCATACAAAAGATGCTGGAAGCCTAACTTGCATTGGCTTTTCAGGTTTTGCTATGTAAATAAGACGTTACTAACACAGGAGGCCATAAGCCTATTGGCTTTGGCCTGTAAGAAGAACGATGGCAGTTGCGCTGATAACACGAGCACTGACAGAGAAGAATGTGTCAGTGTTTGACGTGCTGATACGAGACGCCTCAAACACTCGACTGCTATTGACGGAAAAGTGAAATCGCTGTTAACATTGTCGGGGAGGGAAGTTCCACCTGACAATGACACTGGTAATCATGCACCTTTAGTAGGAATTGAAGACCCAGACAAAAACGTCACCGTTCCAAATAGTTCCGGTGTCCTGAGTGACGAAAAATGAACTGCAGTGTGGAGAAAAAGAAACGAGAAGAAAAAGCTGTAGACAGTACGCAGCTGGTTAGCAAGTCATTGGTGGACTCCCATTGTGACTCACAAAATGCATTACCAAAGTCTGATAGCAAGGGAGAATTTCAACCAGGCGTGACTGAGAAGGAGAATCTAATCTCATCCAATATTATTGTGAGTAAATTTCTGGAGTCAAGCGATCCTGATCCCAAAATCAGACACGCGCATGATTTAAAGAAGCTGGGAGAATATACTCTTAGTATATTGGCAGATAACTCTAAAGGAGTTCAGGTCAGAAAACTGGTTAGAATAAGCAAGAGGACCGAGGACAATGCCGAACCCCGATCATGAAGACTCCTTAAGGTAATCCTAGGGTCGGAGAATGCAACGTGATCTCCTGTTAAGTAGCGCTTGTAGTCACGACAATTCCGACATCCGAGTTAGACCTGATATGTCTCTTGAATATAGAATAAAAAGGAAGAAAGCACTAGCTGAACTAGAAACCCGTCGACAAAACGGTGAGGAAAATCTCCGGTTAGTGGGTTTTCGGATAGTCAGGTCTTGGAAGGGAATGCTACCAAGGCCTGTGTGGATAGGCTGTTCTATCTAGGAGTTTTATATGCCAACGCTCATAGTCTAAGAAATAAGTTCTATGAACTAGAAGCATTAGTGGACAAATTAAGGCCACTCATTGTAACAGTGACAGAAACTTGGTTAGTCCATGACTTAGACATTACTCCAGAATTATCCGGATACGATTACCTAAGTAGTGATAGACATAGGTGTAGGAAGGGAGGTGGCGTCCTTTTATATATATAGCTCCTCTGCTAGCGAATCCCATGATAGCGGTACTTGTAAAGTCATTAGCTGTAAATTGGCTATCGTATGTGGTACATTTATGCTCGGTGTCATCTATCACAGCCCAATCTGCTTAGCTGATGACTTTATTTTAGAGCACATTCAGCTATGGAGTGCAAATAACAGATTCTTGATAATAGGAAACTTTAATGCATCTGATATTAATTGGACTGGGATGACCACGGAAGGATCTATAAACTACTTTGATAGCAGGTTCCTGATAACAATAATGTAGCATGCACTAGTGCAGCATGTATCCAAACCCACACGTTTTGGTGCTAACCAAGGTTCTCTGTTGGACTTGGTAATCACTCATGAGACTGAGGATATTGTCGACCTAAATATTCTTCCACCGTTAGTGAACAGCGATCACGCTGTTTTGTCATTCACGTTTAGAACTAGGGACGTACAAATGTATGGAAAGCTAACATATCAGCCATTCAGGAATGCGCTGCTAAGACAGATTGATTTGTAGATACTAGCTTATCAGTTGAAGAAGCATGGTCTGTATTTAAAGGTAAGTTTAGTTTAGTTACGTCCTCGTTCATAACATACCTGGTACCGCGAAGACCGAATAACAGTCCACCACAGATAACTATAATAGTCAGGAAGCTCCTTAGAAAAAGGAAGAAGCACTGGAATATGTTCATCTCTACTGGCTTAGAACAATACAGATCCAGTTATTATAAGACTAGGAATGCCTGTAAAGCGTTAATAAGTAAGACTAGACGATCATATGAAAAAACAATTGATTAGGGATCCTAGATATAGTCCAAAACGGTTATTCTCGTACATAAAAAGGCGAACTCAGAGAAGCGATGGAATTCCATCACTTTTGATACAAGAATATCCGTTAATCTTGGCAAGAAATGATACCGAAAAAGCTGAAGCTTTATCGGAATATTTCAGTAAAGTGTTTTCTATCAGTAATGAAGAACGACCAACGATTCATTGTGGTCGTGGCAGCTCGCTGATGGACCCTGTAGTCATTGAGAAAGTTACTGTCTTAAGGCTACTTCAGCATCTCAAATCCAATAAGTCCAGTGGTCCTGATTATATTCATCCTAGGATTATGAAAGCCATATCAGATGTAATTGCTGAACCATTAACGATACTGTTTGCCATGTCTCTGAGGCAGTCCAGACTGCCAAGAGACTGGAAAGACACTATAATAAGTCCGCTGTATAAGGTTGGGAGTAGGGATTTAATCAGTAACTATAGACCCGTTAGCTTAACTAGTGCGGTTGTAAAACTGATGGAAAAAATCATTCGAATATCTGTTATAAACTATGTTCAAGGGCATAATCTTCTCCCCAGGGAACAATATGGTTTTCGAAGAGGCCTATCATGCTTGACAAATCTCATTGGGCTGCTGCAAAAGATAGGAAATATTCATGTGGATGTGATCTTCATAGATCAAAGTAAGGCCTTTGATAAGGTCTCTCATTCTGGTCTTAAATTCAAACTGGAACGTTTTGGAATCCATTATACAGTCGTAGATTGGATAAGTAACTTTCTCCATGACAGGAGACAAAGGGTAAGGGTTAATGGAGCTCTCTCCTCGTGAGTACCTGTAAAAAGTTGAGTTCCCCAAGGTACAATCCTTGGTCCTCTTCTCTTTTTACTTTATGCAAATGAATCACCAACTGTAGCAAAACCATCCAATCTACTCTTCGCTGATGAGACAAACATTTAGAGATCCATACACAGTATGTCGGATAGAATAGTATTACAGGATAATCTTAGCTCATTGGTGGCTGGAACTTTCTACCGGAACACGTCATATCAGCACCATCTGTTAATATATTCAAAACGAGATTGGTGTTACGGGAGGACTGTAGACATTTGGCTGATTAAAATCTCTTCATTGTATATTAATAATTTTATTGTGTTTTTGGGTGTATTTGTTTTACTTAACTTTTGAACTTGTTTGTTTATATCATTATTTTTGGACAGTTTGGTTTCTCTTTGTCATTGGTTTGGTATTTGGGAGCTTTTGCTCCGGGAACCTACAAAATTGAAGGTTTGTTTTGTAATTGTTATAATTACTGTTGTTAGAACTACATTTGGGTCGACTAATTGTAACTTGCGAATAAACTTTGGTATCTAAATTGGAGTTTGGTTCTATTGTTAATTTGGGTTTGTACATTGCAAATAGACCGATATACCGTAATTCAATAACGGGAACGAGCAAAATCTTGGATGTAATATAAACTTCTTCAATTATTGGTTCTGTGTTGATACCTTGGATTCGTCTGAGCATTTTGGGTCCAATTTCCTGGTCCTATTGGTCGATTTCGTTTGGAATAATTCAGAATTGGTTCGGTAACCGATTTTTTGGAACAAGGAATACGATGGAAACGCGAAGGAAAATGACGAAATGGATGGTAAAATTTGTAAAGCTGTTTCTGGTATGTCTGATGTTAATGATGATAAATGTGATGATGTTAGTATTAATAGTATGTCCTCTGGTCAGCTTAGTACTTCTAGATTAAGGTCAGGTAAGGCATTACTAAGGAAGAAGAATTTATAAAGGAGACTTGAGTTAGAACGGCAGCTTAAGATGTTAGATCTCCAAGAACAGGTTGATATGGCTGAATTAGAATGTAAGATCATGGAGGACGACAACCAACTGCCCGTAGACAAATGTGGGATAAATGCTAAGGTGGAAAGGTAATTGGATTGCGATACTGGGTGTAATACTCATTCAAGGGAGGTATTTAACATCTCAAAAGGCGATTGAGTTGATGGATTGAAGGATACGTCACATACTATGGTTAATAATATGGCTTTACCTAAGATTGATATGATGTATTTTGATGGACAACCGGGTCAATACTGCAGAAGACGTGGTCTATGTTAACTGTGTTTAAGGAAGCGTCACATGGCCATGTCATGCA